TGCAGCACCGCAGCGCGCACGCGGGCGAGAAGCCGCACGTCTGCGGGCAGTGCGGCCGCGCCTTCACGCGGCTCTCCACGCTGCACCGCCACCAGCGTGTCCACAGCGGCGAGAAGCCCTTCGTGTGCGAGTGGTGCGGGAAGACCTTCAATTACAGCACCCTCCTCGCCCAGCACCAGCGCATCCACACCCGAGAGAGGCCGTTCCAGTGTGCCAGGTGCGGCAAGAGTTTCATCTGGAAGTCCAGCTTTCGGAATCATCAGAAGTCCCACTTGTGCAGCGATGCGGCTTGGACCTCTGCGAGCTAAGCTCTGGAAGCAGCCACTGGAGGGGAGAAGCTGGGGCTTCTAGGGAAATGAAGGGCTGATGCTCCAGGTTGGGCCCCACGGAAGGGTGTCTCTGGGCCAGGGGAGTGTCGCCAGAGTGAGACCGACAGGACGGACTGGGTTGTTCCCCACTCGTGATTGGTGTGTGCATTTCAGGTCCTACAACAGGAGGGGCCCAAGCCAGCCCACCTGGGCCAACAGCACCTGGTCACTTGCTGGATTTGGCATGGCTGTGGCACCTCCCTGGACAAAGTGGTGCTTTGAAAGTTACTATTTTCAAGTGCGTCCAGATTTTATTTTTGAAACTGAAAACGTAGGTCTTTGTCTTTATTTGCGACATAGGTGGATTCTAAACGCCTTTGCGATCCAGACAGGCTGTAGGTCTCTCCTCACCCCGCAGCCCTGAGCACCTGGCCAAGGGCCAGGGCAGGGCAGGTCACATAACCCTCATCACCTTTCGTTCTGGCTGGTTACTTTCCGATGCCAGTTGGTTGCAACAGGATGTGATTGTTCATCTTGGGCAGCCCAGCCCTGGCACTGCTCCGCTTGACTGGCTCAGCTTCACGGTCCTGTGCTGACTTTCTGCGTCAGGCAGGCAATATGAAACATTAAGAGTGTGCCTTTCATTTGAACTGTTCTTTTTTTCATCCAGTTCTTCCATACAGAATGAGTTTGTGTGGTATGAATGTTCTCTATACAATAATCACGTTCCAAAAACTATTCAAACGTGGCGGAACTAAGATAAAATGTATAAAATAAACCAGTGGTTGTGAAACACGTAAGATCGATGTCACAACTAGTTGGCAAATGGTGCCCAGGCATCAGGATCAGGGGGACAGCTGTACCTTTGTGCAGTGTGATCACGCTCTGAACTCCCGGAGTTCCTGGTAGATCCCACTAGCACTTCAAGGCTACTGTCACCATGCTGAGTGACACTCTGAACATGCTCAGCTATTTTCTTACAGACATTAACTGAATTACAGAAGCAATACATGATCATTTGAAGAAATGTAAATATATATAAAATAAAATATAACATGAAGTTTGAGTCATCTTATTTTGTGTCTTTAGGAACTCTTATGCCACAGGTAAACTGACAGTGAAAAGGGGGGATTTGAGTGTTGGCCACAGCGTTTCAGCCAAACTAGATTCAAAGCTATAACAGAAGAAAACTTTCCTGAATGAAAGGAATATCCACTCTCCAAACTGAAAGACCACATCGTGTACCGAAAAAAATAGAGAACACAAAGGCTAATGAAATTACTGATCCTGAAAGAGAAAACACTATGAGGGGAGTGGGGGAGGGGATAGCTCAGAGGGAGAGGCTTGCTTAGCGTGCATGAGGTCCTGGGTTCGATACCTAGTATCTCCATTAAAATAAATAAGTAAGTAAATAAACCCAATTACCTCCCTCCCAAACAAAACAAAACAAAACAAAAATGCTATACAAACATCCAGGAAAAAAAGATCACTCACAGAGGAAAAAAGTCAGTTTGCCTCAGGACTCTGAGCCATAGCTCTTTCTGTATTTATTTCCTTGAGGTGTCACTTTACTTTAAGTTGTATTATAGTCATATTTAAAAGTTTATTTCCTTTCTCTTTCCTTTACCCCTTTCCTACGAAGGTGTGATAGCAGTAGTTAAATTCAAGTTAAGTTTATAAGATGCAAAAAATGGAATCTTGCCAGAAATAAAGGAGAAGACATGGCTCAGAAACTCCAGGTGTGGGCGGGAGGAGGGTGGAGCTCAGTGGATGCTTAGCACGCTTGAGGTCTTCAAATCAGCTGATTGACGATGTTTGGTTGAATCACTGGGTGCGACAGCCCGGCCAAGTTGACACATAACACCAACCATCACACCAGGCATCACGCCTGACTTCCTCCCCTTAACGTGCATAGCGAATGAAGCACGGGTCCTGTTAATTCAGTCAGTAAACCTCTCGAGTCCTGTTACCTGAACTACAGCGACAGCCCCCAAGTGGTCTCCTGCTTTGCAATAATCTCCAGAAATTTTTTAATGTATTTAGTGAAATATATTTTATACACTGCTCCCTCAGATTGCCGAATATAGTAATAGAGTCGCAGCTTTCTCACAAATCCAATTTTTGCCCTAGGAAAGCAATGAGGAGTTGTGGCTCCTCCGTTTTTAGAATGGCCGCTGGCGATGCCGCCCTCCTCCCTGCGGAGCCTGCGGGCTTGCGGCGACGTGCATCCTCTCCCAGTCGGTTCCCCCACGCTGGGTTAAGAAGGACCGAGCGCCGCCTCTGGGAAGCGGAGCCGGAAAGAACTACACTTCCCAGGATGCTGCGCAGTCCCGGACTCCACTTCCCAGCATTACCCGGGGCGCCTTGCGAGGACTCCATTTCCCAGAGCGCCGCGGGAGGGCCCGACCTGGTCCCGCCCCCTCCACCTGTCCCGGCCCTGCCCGAGACTCCGCCGGCGCCGGAAGCAGCTCTCTGTGCGCCGGACAGGTGGGCTACGGTGCAGGTGAGCCTGCGCGCGGCACCAAGGGACCCCGGGGCGGGGGGCGTGGCGTGGCGAGCCGGGGCCTGGGCCTTGGGTGTCCTGTGACACCCAGAGAGGCCTGAGGGGTGCTGGCAGCCGGGGGCGTGGGACGGGGGCTCGTGGGCGCAGGCCGTGAGTGGGGCCTGGGAAATTTTGGGGGGGTGCCCAGCTGCAAGAGGCTAGTGGACATGGAGGTGGCCCCGGGAGAGGATCCGGGAGCGTGGGAAGCGCCCGGCGGCATGAAAGGGGGCCGACCGCGGTACCTGCTGCTGGACTGCCCGCATAGTCTGGAGCAGCCGGCTGTCTGGGCAGGGTCCTCTCCGGTCGGGACTGCCAATGGGGCCCTACAGTGGGGTCAGAGCCGTCCTGTAGGGGCGTAAGCAGATTTCTAGCCTCCAAGATAAGGTCCCCAGAGGCGGTGGTGCCCCGAGGCCTCTCCATATCTGAACCAGAAGGAACCGGGCTCTAGAAGCCTTGCTGGGACCAGCTGGCCCCAGGTGGGCACTGGGCTGCAAACATAGGCACTGCCTCTTCCCGGTCTGTAGCATATGGGCTTTGGCTGGGAGCAGCCCTAACGATCTGGGCCAGGAGCCTCCAGCCCCAGGGTTGGCTGTCTCCTCTCTTGTCAGCTAGAAGAGAGCAAGTGGTCCCTTTCTTGGTCTAGTGGGGGTCAGAGTTGGGCCTGCAGGGCACAGCCTGGCTCTCCTGGCTTAGTGGCAGCCTCAGGGCTCCTGTGCGGCTCTAGGGAGAGAGCTCCCTGGGGAATGGGGCTGGGAGGAGGGGATGACTCAGGCTAGTTGGGTCTATCTGGTCTCCAGCGGGCAGTGTCTACTCCTTGGGGACCTCAACCTGTGCCAGTTGTCCCAGGGAGCCCCAGGTCAGCCCTTGGAAGTCACAGTGGGGCCAGTGGTAAGGGCAGTGACCCTGGGCAGGGGCATCTTGGAGCATGAGGGCCTCAGCCTCACACCACTTGACCCTACAGGTGCAGCCAACATGGGTGAGCCCCAGGGGTCCATGCGGATCCTAGTGACTGGGGGCTCTGGGCTGGTGGGCAGAGCCATCCAGAAGGTGGTAGCAGATGGGGCCAGGCTGCCCGGAGAGGACTGGGTGTTTGTCTCCTCCAAGGATGCTGATCTCACGTGAGTGGGCTCATGCCGGAAGCACCCCTACCGTTCTCTCTCCAGACTGAGACTCCAGGCCAGGCCTGTCCCTGGGCCTGGCAGCCTCCTGTCTGGGCCCTCCCTGCCAGGTGGCTGGCCTGGCCTGGCCTGGGTGTGTGCAGCTCTGGGCAAACTTCCTCCCATCTCTTCCTGGGAGCCCACATCCTCATACACCCAGGGCCTGAACTGGCCACTTTCCCTTTTGGCAGCCCCTCCTGCCATCAGCCCTGCCTGAGTCCTGCCCCCAGAGCCTTGAGCCAGGGAGCTAGTTCCCTCAGGCCTCCAAGTGACTCCTGACGGCCTGGCTCCCTTCAGGGATGCGGCACAGACCCGAGCGCTGTTTGAAAAGGTCCAGCCCACACACGTCATCCATCTTGCTGCAATGGTGGGGGGCCTGTTCCGGAATATCAAATACAATTTGGACTTCTGGGTAAGTGAGGGGGCCCCAGTGAACACTGGGAGCCAGGACCCTGGATTCTGGGAACTTCCTGGCCAGCTTCCCATGCTCACATTCTGGCCCCAGGAAGTCCCTGAGGGTCAGGGGTTGGCACAACCTGAAGGGCCCCCAGTGATGCACACTTGGTGCATAGGCATAGGGGAATGAGGGTGGGCCTGTGGGCATTTGGCCTGATAGGAAAAGCCATGGAGCTAACCTAGGGGCTAGGGGAGCTGGGAGAAACAGCATTTGCTGTGTGACCGGGGGCTGGTTCCTGCCCTCTGGGCTGCCAAACCCTCCTGCTCCCAGGAGGTCCAGCTGCATGGAGCCAGGCCCTCTGGGCTGCACACATGCCTTGAGAGGATGTATGCTTGGGGCTGAGCAGGAAGAGATCTGGGTTCTGCCTATAGCCGGGACCCTGCAAGGCTTTGGCTCATCATCTCTGCCACTGGCCTCCGCATGTTTCAGGACTGGGACGGCAAAAGCTCAGACCAGATTCTGCAAGGGGGCCCCTCCTTGTCTCAGTGACAGCCTTCCCAGCACGCTGCCTCACCACGCCCTCTCCCCTCTCCCCAGACCACCCTTGCCCTGGCCAGCTCACGTACAACTTCCAGCAGGGGAAGTGGGGCCAGGGAGGGGTATGGCTGGCCAAGGCCTCACTGCTACTGGGGGTAGCGGGGGGTGGAGGGACCCCTTCTTACCCTGCTGTACCAGGGCCAGATTGGGTCCCCTGGGTCCCTCCTGGTTCCTGCATCACCTGCCTAGGCCTCAGCCCCTGTGGGCGGGGCTCTCCTCCAGGGCCTTCTCCCAGCCTCAGGGAGGGCAGGCCCGGACCCTCCTACAGCTGGAAGGGGCCCTAATTTCTGGAAGGTGGGCCCTGCCTTGTCCCTGGCAGCAGTTAGAACAGCTGGTTCAGAAACTGCCTGCCAGGGTGTGTCCCTGCTTCTGTCCCTGGGGGAACATGTCAGGGCTGGGGTCCTGCCTGAAGGGGCCTGAACCCGCCCCCGCAGAGGAAAAACATACACATCAACGACAACGTGCTGCACTCGGCCTTTGAGGTGGGCGTGCGCAAGGTGGTCTCCTGCCTGTCTACCTGCGTCTTCCCGGACAAGACCGCCTACCCTATCGACGAGACCATGGTGATGGGCGGGGCATGGCCGGGGGCGGGGCGGGGCCTGGGGGCGGGGCTGAGATGCAATGGCTCCTCTGCTCCCCTAGATTCACAATGGACCGCCACACAGCAGCAACTTTGGCTACTCTTACGCCAAGAGGATGATCGACGTGCAGAACAGGTCCTCCTCCCACGCACCTGCTAGGAATAGGGGACCGGCCCGAGTGCCGTGCGGTGGGCGGGGCCCCAGACCTCCCCCTTCCCTGCCGGCGTCTGCTCTTTTGTCTGTAAGAGGCCGGGTCGGGGTGGGTCGGTGGTCTCGAGGTGAGGGCCAGAGGAGACGCTGTGCCTGCCCCGCAGGGCCTACTTCCAGCAGCACGGCTGCACCTTCACTGCGGTCATCCCCACCAACGTCTTCGGGCCCCATGACAACTTCAGCATCGAGGACGGCCACGTGCTGCCTGGCCTCATCCACAAGGTGCACCTGGCCAAGAGTGAGTGCTACCACCCACACGCCGGCCAGGTCAACCGCCTGATGGGGTCCTTGCGGCTCAGGGGAAGGAGGGGCAGTGGCCGGCACAGCCCCCCCTGACCTCATCCTCCTGGAACCTGCAGGCCTTGGCTCAGCCTTGACGGTGTGGGGTACAGGGAAGCCTCGGAGGCAGTTCATCTACTCACTGGTTGGTCACAGAGTGCATGGCTGTCCCCCAGCACATCTCCTGGGGCTGCCATGCCGGCTGTGGGAGGGAGGGAGTCTGGGAAAAGGTGGGGGTCTGGGCTGAGCCCCCTGGGGAGCAGTCACTAGTTTTCGTTCAGTCCCTGTAGGCTCCTGTCCCCAAGGGAGTACTGGTACAGCTCTGAGCTCATTAGGAGAAGGGACTTGGGACTGAGCTGGCCAAGCCCACAGGGACGGAGCTGGGGCACTTGGGAGGGGTGATCTGTGGCCCCATTTGGCCATAGTTTGTGGTCTTTGACCCTGCCATCTGACTTCCAGGACCTGGCCCGGCTCCTTATCTGGGTCCTGCGGGAGTACAGTGAAGTGGAGCCCATCATCCTGTCAGGTGGGCGCCCTGAGGCCCCCAAAGGCGGCAGACCAGGGCCCCCATCTGTTCTGAGAGCTGTGTGGAGTAGTGGAGCGGGAACACCTTGGGGGTGGGTGGCAGCGGCTCCAGGCAGAGGAGGCCTGATCTGGCCGCTGGCCCCTTGCTCTCCACAGTGGGCGAGGAAGATGAGATCTCCATCCAGGAGGCAGCCGAAGCTGTGGTGGAGGCCATGGACTTCCATGGGGAGGTCACTGTATCCTTCCACTCCAGGCGGGGGCACCGAGGGTCTCTGTGCAGACGCGCCTGCTCACCCAGGCAGCAGGGGGTGGGGCCTGCTGCTCTCTCAGAGGCTCTCCCTGGGAAGGCTAGGCAAGGGGCAAGGGCAGGTGTGGGGGCTTCCCTTTCTGCTGTGGCCTTGACCAGGCCCCCAGTTCGACACCACCAAGGCGGACGGGCAGTTTAAGAAGACAGCCAGTAACGGCAAGCTGCGGGCCTACCTACCCGACTTCCGATTCACGCCCTTCAAGCAGGGTGAGCCCCCCCATCCCTCAGGACCTCCCCAGGCCTCCGCTTCCCTGCTGCTTGGTCTCCACACCCTCATCCTGGAGGCCGGACAGAGGGGTGATGCTCCCCCCAACCCTGTGGAGGTCAGTTCGGCCCTGGCCCTTACCTGCCCCCTCTGCAGCGGTGAAGGAGACCTGTGCTTGGTTCACTGACAACTACGAGCATGCCCGGAAGTGAAGCGGGGCAGAGGGAGCGGTGCTGCCTTCTCCAGGCACCCAGCTCAGCCGGCAGAGCCCAGTGGCAACCACCCTCAACCTGCCAGGAGTTGAGGGCACTGCCCTCGTCAGGGGGCCCGGGCTCCACCCTCTCTGCCTGGGCAGCTCTGGGTAACTGTCCAGTGGGCCCACCATTCACGTCCATCCTCAGGGAAACCAAGGCCTGGCCAGGCCTGGCACCACTCCCCGTGTCGGTCCCTGAATGTGTCCACTTCTGGTCCTGTTCTTCCGCTCCCCAGGAACCAATAAAGTGCATTTTCACAGGCCTGGCCCCAGCCACTCTGTGCCAGCCCTCCCCTCCCCACCCACAGGCTCAGCCTCCCTGAGCCTGGGCAGCCCCCAAACCCACCATCCCCCACTGACTGCTCAGCCCCCAAGAGCTGCCGGGCCACAGTGGCCGGCTGTCGCCACATGAAGGCCTTGGAAACCGGCACTCTTCCCGGAGCTCCCTCATCCCCAGCACTTTGGGGAAAGAGGCTGGGTCTGGATTCGGACAGGCTGAGTGGGCACACGGATGGCTCAGAGGAGAGAGTGGTGACTGCATGGCTCAGATGCCCCTTGGACTCCAGAAGAGTGTAGGACCAGACCTGAACCTTCATCTCCCCAGCCCTCGTGTGGCTGCTTGGGTGCCAGGGCCTGGCCTGCCCTTCTCCGGTGGACAGTTAACAGGTGACATGCAGAGAGGGCCTAGTGGGCAGGAAGGTGAACGGCCTGGGCCGCCCAGTCCTCAACAGGGAAATCTGGACAGGTTGACTGACCGGTCCACTGGCCAGCCAGCTAGTGCTGGGTGTGGACCTAGGGGTGCCCAGTTCCCAAGCCTTCAGGCCAGAGTCCACAGACCACCTCCCACAGGACCCAGGCACCTTCCCCGGCTCTCCTAGTCTTCGTGCCAGTGACCCCCAGCTTTCCTCTGGCCTCAAGTGTGCCAGCTGCGTTCATGACTAACTCTGTTTATCCAGGCGGCACTGGCTGTCTTCCCTGTGCCCGGCACGCAGTCCCGACCTCTATCCCTGTGCCCAACTGACCATGCGTGGCTCCCGTCACTGCCCCCTTTCTCTCTGGCTTCCCCACATTTCATGTCTTGACTGAAGTGGTTCTCCCTCTCCGAGGCCCGCCCTACCTGTTTGCTTCTCTGGTGGTACCTGTCCTTCCCCCAGAGACTTGGAGCTCCAGGACCAGGTATCCCCTGGTGCCAGCCCTTGGTGAATGAAGGGTCTGCCCATGTGGGGATTGAGGGGGAGGGGCAGGACCTGAGTTGAGCTCAGATCAGCGAGGTGAGAACGGTGGGAAGGAGGCCCGGCACAGAGCAGAGGCCAGACATGCGTGACAGGACACCAAAAGTGGTTCTGTGTCCTGAGCTGTCCCCTGGGTTGTCCTGTGTGTGTGTGTGTGTGTGTGTTTATTGAGGAGGGGCTGTCCCCCAAGCCAGAATGCAGATCTGCAGGGTAGGGGTTTGGCTGTCCATTCCGCTGATGTGTGGCTTTTATTCCCAGCCCAGAGCAGGCACCATGCTCAGGGGCAGTTGCTGAAAGAACTTAGAACAAGTCAAAGTAAAAGTTTAAAGAAGATAGCTAAATATCTTTAAAATGCAGTTTTAACTACAGTCTTAGATCTCCAGACCTTATTTTTCCCATGTCAAGCAAAAATTACAAGCAAAGCCCTGACCCACAGCCCCCACCCCCGTCAGTCTCTAAGGTGGTCCCTGGCCACAGCCAAGCACTCTGTCTTCCTCAGGGCCAACAAGCCGGCTAGGTCTCTGCTGGGAACCAAGGCCTCAGGAAGGTCTTTCCTGCTTCCTCCCCTCAGTGCCCTGGGAGGCCCGTGGAAACCACTTAAACACAGAACTGCAACAGACCCCTGCTCGCACATTTCCCTGGCTTGCTGGACCCACTGCGGCTTGGAGAAGAGCTGTCCACAAGCCCTGACTAGGTAGCCTTGTACAACAGGCCCGAGTCCACTCTTAGCTCCAAACAGAAAACCAGGGCGCTGAGAATGCTGCACCCACCCAGCGTGAGCAGGGTCCCACTCTCCAGCCCCTGGCCTGTCGGGATGATCGGCTGGAGTCCACATTCCGGCTGCCAGGTTTTCATCAGCGGCTGGTCAGATGCCCCTCTTGGAAGCTCAGCTGCCCAGTGACCGCCACCACTGGTGCTCCAGGCTTTGCAGCATCCCCGAGAGGGCCCCCACCTGGAGGGCTGCAGGGCACCGACTTCTAGGATAAGGTCAGAGTAGCCCCCACCGGTTGGGAATGGCCTTTGAATGGCCTCTCTCGAGCTGCACTTGAGAAATCACACAAGCGCTCGCAATCCTATCAAGGCTCGCTCGCCGGGGTCCTCAGAACAGAACTCATGTCCTCAGTCGGACCGAAACGTCCGCGCGGAACTGCGCCGGTGCCGCCCCCTGCGGCGCCCC